AAAAAAAAAAATTGAGAACTTGTGTATTCATCAAAAACTCAAGACAGGAAGCAATATATCCGGCACAAAAAATTGATAAGAGAATAAAAGGTTAATATCTAGAAAACATAAGGAGTTTCTAAAGACCAGTAAGAAACGACAGAAAATCAAATAGACAAATGGGTGATGTGACTTCTAGGGGTGGGGTGGTGTGGACACTGGTGGGACTGGAAAGGTTTCTGGTATTCTGGCAATGTTCTATTTCTTAATCTAGGTGTTGAATATGCTGTTTACTCATTAAACTGTAACCTTACATTTTAGTTACTAGTACACAGAAACATACATACACACACATATATAATATTTTACCATAAAAAAGGGAAATAATGAGCAGATAAGGCATAGGAGAACAAAGAAAGCAGAATCCCCTCAGGTGTTTTCAGCAAACCTTATATAATATAGTCCATCTATACAAGAATACTCTTTTCTCTACTTGTATCAATATTATCACTCACAGTTTAGTCAGTAAACAGCATATTCAACTATAATATACTGTATCTTAAAGCAACTTCTAACAATTATTAAATGACATATTCTTTTACAAGTCTTTTTCCTCCTTGACTGCTTTCGGTTTATATAAATTTTGCTATTCCAAGAAAAATGCCAGACTTTGGCTTAGCATCTCCAACTACATGTTCCACTGAAAGGAAACATGAAACATTAACTTACACATTGGTACATTACTTCAAATGTTAAGAAATTAAACTGCTTTCTAAATAGTTAATTCAGTAACAACTTAAAATGTTAAAATGTAATTCTTCCTAGTATAACAGTTATATTTATTAACACCTACTAGTTCTACGAAATAATCTGTTGTTACCTTTGTGCTATATCTTCCTAACCACATAAGGCAATTTAGATTGCATATTATCATCTAACTGTATGGGAGATGAACCTCAGTTCCCTAAGTGTGATTTATGAATTTAATGTATTAAGCTAACATAGTCATTTCGGTTGAAATGAAGCTAATGGCAAACAATTAAGAGTTTTGCACATATGAAGAAGTTATAAGAACAAACTTAATATATATGGGAACATATTAGTCCATACAATGCACCCACTTTTCAGCTTACTAAATTGGCTAAAAATTTGGTCCCAATTTTGTTATTTTCTCAGATTCACTAATTTAAAATTAACTTACAATTTCTCCCCAAGTTGGGATATTTGTACTTCTTCTCAACAAAATTCCTCAGAAAAGCTTTATTCTTCTTCCACTTTACACCATTATTATGTTATCTAGCCCAACAGTTCCTTTTTCAAGATGGCTGTCACATCTACTTTTCCTCTTTCATTGTTAGGGATCTTGTCCACATTTCTAGTATTCCAATCTTAGAGGTTCACAACTTTGTGTCACAGAAATCACTCTCAAGACTCCTAACTCTATCAGTGTCATTTCATTTCAGCAAGAGTCAACAATCACACACAGCATCTTTCTTGTTCTGACTTACTCCCTGTCTTCAGTTATTAGGCTCCATTTTATTCAAACCTGTATCTCCGTACTCTGAAACATCTTTACTACTTTGTCCCCCATTCAGTTCTATTTTTAATGTCTATCTCAAGTTCTAATTCTCTAAAGGGGGTTACTGTTAATGCTGCAATTTGCTCTCTTCTCATTTGGGGGTATGCAAATTTTATCTGCACTATAAGATTCAAATGGCATGGAACAGTTTTATACTGCTTCTTATAACCCAAACACCTAAAGAAGAAATGGAAATTCACACCCATTTTTCTTTTCCCTTAAGGAAAAGATATAAAGGTGTCAGAGTCAAGGTGTTCTATTCTACTCTTGTGCTTCACTCATGGCTCAAGAGACTGAGTAAATAAAAAACTGGGTCTGTGAGATCTAGTGAAGTATGACTGACCATGACTCACCATTTTGCCACACTGACTAAACAATCAGCACAGTCAGGTTAAGTCTCTACGAGATTCTAAAAAAAAAAGTATGAGATTCTGTTGAAACCTCTGGACATGTATTCTACTAAATTAATGTGAAAGTTTGACCAGGGAATTTTAAATTTACTAAAGAATTTGGTAATTTGGAAAATATATCCAGTGGATAGGAGACCCAAACCACAATTCTCTAGGTATCACAGTTACTAGTCACATTATTGACATATTATTAGAAAGCAAACATCTAATAATAGCTATTTGTCACTGAACTAGCTACCATCTGTTAATAAAGGAGGTCAAGGGAGAGGAGAGGAATTCATTTTCATTACCCATTTATAATCCTTTTCTCTTCAATGTTGCAGAAAGTTCATAAAAGCAAAACCACCAAACTACAACTACAGCTACAAATTTCTTCCTCAAGGTCCAAGTACAATAAAATCTTCATTTCAAAAGGATTGTATTCTCTAGTGTCACACATATTCTTAGTGTTTCACATATAATCAAAAGACTTAACATTCAGTCTTTTCTTTTGAAAAGTCATTGTATTTCTGTCTAATTCTACCCTCATGTTTATTTTAAGGATTATGTTTTTTGTAACTTTGTATTTTTAGCTTATACTTCAAGAAGTATAACTGGGTGAGAGGGCAGATTATTTCCTTACAAAAAGTTCCTACTACAGGTGATTATTTCTATCATCCTTTGCACATTTTTTAAAAAAAGATTTATTTATTTATGCATACAGAACTGGGGTATAGGCCAGAGGTGCAGGGGCAGTCAGAGACAGAGTAGGGAGCAGGACAGGCAGACCGATGAAGAACACTGATGAGGGTTGAGGCGGGCCGGTACAGAAAGGTCTGCAGCGCCATGTGGGTCACCTCCGGGGTGGGGATTGAACTTATGCTGAAGTGGCTGTGCTTTAACCCACTGTGCCACCAGGGAGGGTCCTCCTTTGTACTTTTATAAGATTCAAATTGTGTCACAAATACTTGAGGGAAAAAAAGTTACCAAAAAATAGTAACAGCAGCAAGTCAAGCAAACATTGACAGATAAACAGATAAATGTGAATTACATGCCATCTAAAAAGGGGAAGAAATTGTGATATATGTGACAAATAGATCAATCTTGGAGATGTTATCATGAACGAAATAAGCAAGTCACCAAAGAACAAAATTGCCTGATCCTCTTACATGAGGTTCTTAGAGTAGTCAAACTAATATACAAAGCAGAATAGTGGCTGGCTGCTAGGGGCTTGGGAAAGGGAAAAATGGGAGTTAGCATTTAATTCATACAGTTTCAGTTGGGGAAGGAAAAAAATTAGATGACAATGTGACAACACAATGTCACAGAATTATACACTTTAAAATGTTGAAAATGGTTAGCTTTACATATATTTTATCACACTCTTAAAAAACACAATGTAACAATGGAACCATAGACCATTTAAGTAATTTTGTCTTCTATCTGCTATTTCAAAGCACAACTGAAAAGAAGCCATGCCTGCTACTTCTCTCCACTTGATGGAGAAACTAGGGAGAAACACAAACTTTAGTATAAGAAATCAGTGTATATATAAGCAATTGCCCTAGTTCATGTGGGTATTTAAACATCACATGCTTATGTCTCTGATTTCTGTTTTTGCTATAATCTTCCTGAATGTCTGAATCCAACCATTCAACACTTTATAAGCAGACTATAGCTCAACTTCATGTAAAATGCTGGACATAAAAAGATGAAAAACTTATTCCAAACTCTGAAAAGTCCACACCAACAAAAGGGCAATTGGCATACTATCAGGAACACAGAACAACCACCTTAGTAGGGAAGTGAGGGACAATGCTAACTATGCTCATGAACCGCTCCCACTTTCTCCTATAATAATATAATTGGAGGAAAGCCACCAAAAATAAAGACCATATTTCTCATCTTTCCTTATGGCCACAGACTAAGTTCTGGACCATGAAATTCAAGTGCATCTGTAGCATGGGAGCTTTTAGGAAAGAGAGAGTGAGTTCACATAAGCTCACCAGTCCCTATTTTGTTCTTTCATGTATCATGTTTCTTAAAACAAAGGTAACTGCAATTTCAGACCATCAGAGCCAGGGTCAAATCTGACACTCTAAACCATCAGTTGGAAATTACTCCTCTAATAGCATAATATGGCAAAGCTGTCACTTCAGTCCTATGTTGCAAAATACAAAATCTTGCAGTTGAGAAAAGGTCTTCTCTTATGTTTTTAGAAGTTCTCTCCTGTTTAATATTATTTTGGAGACTGAAATTTAGCTGTGTAGCCAATGATAACTAATATAAGGGTCAAGAAAAGATTTCAAAGAAAAGATGTCTTTGAGCTGGGTTTTTAAGAGTGTACAGTTACCTGCCAAGTGGAGAAAGGCATTTCAGGCAGAGATCATGCAAAGGCACAGACTCAGGAATGGGTCCAGTTTTCCAAAAGACAAGCAGTTCAGATGGTTGATGTATAGGGCAGGCAGGCTGAAGAAAAGAAAAAGCAACCTGAAAAGCTAGTAAGAGATAGATTCTAATGAGTCTTACATGCCAAACTAAAAAGATGTCTTTAATTCCTCCACTTAGTCTTATAAATGATACTGCCTTCATAAATGATTCTCTGCATATCCTAGAAAAGCCAAACAGCTCAAAGACAAAGGCAGTACACTGATATCTTATACAAAAAAATCTGACACAAAGTAGGACTCCTAAGAGAGTTAAGGGAGATGAATATGGACAACACAGAAAAGAGAAAGCATATGTATAATTTGGCAATGTCTGGCAGAGGTTAAAGTACCTGACTTTTAAAGAGAACTGAGGTCAACAAATTATAGCATACCATGTAAATATAATACATTTAAAATTTTTATTTTATGCTGATTATACCCATTTTCTTCTTAAGAAGCTATCACAGGTTAGTATATAATAGTTGAACAGCAAATAGTGTATAGTAGGAATATGGTATTTGATGGTCAGATACCTTTCCCTATCAAATTAATTATAAATATGAATGTGAAAGAAAAAAGAAATTAGTCCTCTTCAAGGTTATTAAGTTTTAATTTATATTCAGGCAAGTAGGATTCAATTACTTTTTAATAATAATCCTCTATTTTTTGTAAATTTTTACTTTTATAGTTAATGAAACCTTATACCCTATTAAAAAAAGCATAAGACAGCACCAACTATTTACTTTGTAGATGTATCATAGACAAATTGAGTAAATGTCCTCTGTGAAACCAAAGTCCATTAATTATGCTCTGTAAACTTTCAAAGAGCAGGAAAAAATCTGTCTCACAATGATTGCATTATTTTTCTCTAGCCCTCTCTAAACTAATTTTAGCCTTTTACTAAATATTACAGGCTGATCATACCCTAAACACTGTGGAGATACAGAAGTTTATTAACTGTAAAACTGTTGGATATATTTTTCTTTTAAATGGTTTATCCTGATACTCATGTTTCATTTAGTTTTAGTAAGTGTCCTTGGTATTTCAAGCATATGAGTCCTAGGAGTAACTTATTCTGGTAACTGGCATCAAAAACATTTGGTAAGGGCCCTCCCTGGTGGAACAGCGGGTTAGGACACAGCATCGCCAAGTGAGCTGTAGCCACTTCAGTGCTAGTTTGATCCTCAGCCCTGGAAGTGACCCATATGTTGCGGCAGACCTCTCCTGGCCTGTACTTCATTGATTTGCCTTCCTGCTCCCACTCTGTCTTTGGTGAATCCTCTCACCACCCCTGTACCTCTGGCTTGTACTCCAGTTCTGTATGAATAAATAAATCTTAAAAAACAAAAACAAAAAAAAAAACTTGGTAAGGTACACTAACAGGAAAGATTTAATTTTTTAAAGGATGGAAAAGATGGCTTTGTCAGTTTAGATTGATTAAAACCATTTGCATCTAAGTTTTGCTTAAAAGAATGTAGTTACAGCATTTTTAAACCCCTACATTCCTACATTTCACCTGCTGTTTATCCATCCCTTTGCAACAATTATTCTGTTATAGAAGAATGTGGAGGAAAAAAGGAATCCAGTGGGCAGAAATCTTTGACCCATGTAATTATTTTTCAATGAATGCATATTACCATGATAAAACTTCTCCAATGATGATTCACTATACCATTTTTTAAACACTGTAAAAATAAAGCTAACAGTGAACTAGTTATTGTGAAGTCTGTTCAGAGATTCACCTGAACAGAATTCATCACAATATAGAAGACTATGTGGCCCTAACTCTTAAAGATCAGAAAACAGGATTACAGTTAAACAGTGATTTCTAGGAACAGAGAAAGGGCATAGTTGCGGATAAGCATCTATAGCTTTTATGTTATTCTCAAAGGGATCGAGCCTTAGAAAGGGCCACACTAGATTTCCAGACTCTGGTAAGTCTACTTTAAAGTCCACTCTTCATTACCAGGGAGTTAGATATAAAACAATGTTAGGAAATAGAATACTCTGCTCAAAAATTTTCAGTGGTTCTCTATCTTAAGGGATAAACTCTAATTTTTTTCCAAATGGCATATAAGACCACTGAAAATTTAGCCTAGCCTTAGAGCATGTCCTTTTCCTTTTTTCCCCAAGTTCCAATCTTTTAACACAATTACAGCAAAGTTTGCTGAATATGCCAGGCTTGTATTTGCACACTTTTCCACATGCCTGAAAAGTTCTTCCTCTACCTGTACTATACCCGGCAAAATACAAAATACTATGCTCATTCATCAAGACTCAGTACAACTGCCATGTTCTCTGTCTAGTCTTTCCAGAATCTTCCTAGCTGTCTGAAGATCACTTCTCAGAGGTGTGTTGGTAAACTAGTTTTCTTAAGGAATAAAAAAGGCCCTGATAGTCAATTCTGCTTTAATACTTATTTTGAAAACTGGCATTTGTTTCTTGGTACTTGTTAAGTTAGGGAATACATGAAGGCAATAAAGAATCCCATGTGCTCATGTGTCATTAACATGCTAATAGAATGCAGAAAATAGCCAGCCACAGTGTACAAGAACACACACACAAACCTCAAGCCTTCTCTGGCTACTACAATGCAACTTCTATGTCAGGAGACATAACCCCATCCACGCCCTCCTCCTACCATTTCAAAATAATTCACAACAGGCAATCTTCCCCATTCCCAAACTTTAGGTCTTTTCAAGGCATATCACAGTACTACCAAGTTCTTATTTTTAATATGTAAAACTCCTACCTTTTTTATTAGTTTCCCACCTAGCAACCAGTATTAATATCCTGAAATTTAAACTACAGAGCATTATAAAACAGACATTAGTAAAGAAGTTTTGGAGTATTGTGACCAAATCGCATTTTTCCGTTAAGTCTGTTGACTTTTTAATAAAGTGTCCCATTACAGAACTGACTGCATGCAACATCTATTGTGCATGCTGCCACAGATGATTTCAAATACTAACAGCTGGGCTCTCTAGTCTGGCCTAGCTCCAACACCCACAGTATTCTGTACATATCTTTACCATAGCAATCATTTTTGAGGCATTAACTGTTTTTTTTTTGTTGTTGTTGTTGTTAATTTCAATATACAGTAAACTACTAAAGGCCAGAGCCTCTTTGACTTTAATACTGATATCCTTTAACTAGGACTCAGCATTTAGTATGTGTCTTGTTATCATGGGGCAACAGATTTAAAAACCAATATATGTAACGATAACTATAAAACCTGTATCTACAATGGAAAATTAGTACCTGCTCCTCTCCAAATTCCAGCTGCCAAATTAGTAAAGGAGAGCTGGGATTTGAATAGTGTTCCTGACTCTAAAGTTTGTCACAAAAGTCTATATATCATAACTAACATGTATTTATTAATCTCATCTACTAATCTACATATACCTTAAGGTATATCATATATGGACTATAAATTATTTTAAAAAGCAGATGCTAGAGATGTAGTTTGACACTTTTTTATTATTGGTAAGTATATAAAAATGTTTTACAGTATAGAAATTCAATTCAATTTTGTGAAAAAAATAAAAATTGACTAAGGTTTATCCTTCAAAAAATAGGCCATTTTATCCAATTCAACCTTATCTAAGCCAATATCAAAAGTTACCCTGAAATCTAGGGCAACCAGTATTAATATCCTAATTTAAACTACAGAGCACTATAAAACACAGACATTATTAGAGTCTTAAGTGATCTACTGGCTGAAAACTATAATTTGATTTCCTTGCACATGCACACACACGTCTCCATTTAAAATTTTTTAAGTTACATATTGATATTTACTGTTACCCTGAGTAACACAGTAGAATGTAGTCTTAAAGGAGTGTGTTAGTGACTTTAATTGCCACATATACTACCATTATCTTAAAAAGGAGTGAAAAATTACTTTGGCTTTCTATACTTATGCTTTGCAAAGAAACAAGCATACCTAGTGTTTGTAAGGTCTTACAGCATAGAGAAGTAGTGCTTAAATTCAGTATACATTAAGATAGCAGAGGGCTTATCAAAACAAATGAAAAAAGTATGACATAATCACTACATCTGGAGCAATTTATTAAACAGGATGAGAGGATGAAAAATCACTCATAATTTATTCAAAATTAGAGTATTTTATTTTTCAACTTTTAAATAAATGTCCTAGGAAACTCAAAAGTGTCATGTCACTTTTTTCACTTACTATCATTTTCTTTGATCTGTAAGCAATTTTCTAAATCTCATTTTTATCACCTGACAAATATTATATTCAAAATACTAAACAAAAAATGTTTAAAAGACTGTGATCATGTAAGTATTCACTTACATGACTCTACAATATCATTTAATCATTTAAGGGGGGGCTTCCAATTTTTTAACATTTTAAGTAGCATTATAAAGTAGCACACTTGTGCACATCTCTCACTGCTTATAAACTTCTAAAAAAGTGAATGTGGGGGTAAAGAGTATGAATGAACATTCTTACAGATTCATTCTTAAGGACTGGCGATTATCAAGTTGTCACTGTAATGTACCTGTACTAATATTTGCACACACCTCCAAATGTGTTCATGCATCTAAATCCAATCCCTAATGATACAGTATTTAAAGGTGGGGACTTCAGAGGCAGTTAGGTCACAACAGTGGAGCCTTCACAAATGGTATTAGTTTTCTTGGAAGAGGCCTGAGCCAAGGTGAGCTGAGCTCTCTTTCTTACTATGTGAGTGTGTCAAGAAACGAGCAGTCAGCAACCCAGAAGATGGTCCTCACTAGAGAACCTAGTCAAGATAACACACTACTTCCAGCTTCCTAAAATATGAGAAATAAACTTCTGTTGTGGATAAGGCATCTAATTTATAGCACTTTATTATAGCATCTAAAATAAGTTATATAAAAAGTAGTACAAATTAATCTATCAACAGCAGGTATTTGACAGTACTGGATTCTTTATATGAGACTGAAGCATGTAACTTATTACGTAAAGACTCTACCACTTAATTTATTTTTATAATCTTATGTTTCATAAGCTTAAAAGGAAAATCTT